AAATGTTATTATAATTGTAAATTAAATCCTGGAAAAATATTCGTGAGAAGGGAGCGTAGAAAGAAAACATATGACACTTAGAGAGACCCTTATATTATATTGCCTGAATGAAGGAAGCTTACTATTTCTAAACGATTAGGTTTTACAAATTCATTAAATTCATTTTCATGAGTTTTGATACTATATGTTTTTGATTTTAGGGTCATCTCTCTCAAGATTTCTGAATTCACCTGAGGTTCAGGAGCAACTTTCACTCCTAAAAGAAAGTTTGCATATATTTAATGTAGATTTGCAAATAAATATTTAGAAAAAATGAACAATGTTGTCTACATCACAAGCTCCATCTACAATTGTCCATTGTAATGCTCCAAATGTTAGTTTTAAACCAGCCTTCTAAATTATCATTTGGGACATGCTGCAACAAAACCAGATAAAGTGATTTCGGGGATTCATAATTTGGTTGGTGGAGAATGAAAATTTAATTGGCCATACTTCCATTTCTTGGTTTTTCCCATATTTAATTTTTAATTTTACACAAAAAAACTATTAACTACTTATATCCAAGTACAAACCTAAATAGACAGTATGCAATAATCATGAGGTATCTCGGGTATAAGCAGCAGACTCTCCGTTAGAACTCCATCAATGATGCAAGATGATGTATAATGCAGACACTTTACTCAAAGCTGGGCGTTATGTTTAAAACTTGAAAAATTCACGTGACAAATAATTAGCAATGTTGAAAAAGTAAAATTTTGTGGGGGTTGGTTAATTCCTTCATGGCAATGATGTATGTTAAGATTAGCAATGTTGAAAAAGAATTTTGCACCCAAGAACCCCATATTTAGTTCAAATTCACATACAATGGCATGTCCTCGCCATTTTGGTTATATCCGATCATGAAGGTTTTCATCCCTGGATCAAATGAAATGATGCCAGCATCCTTAGCTACCAAGAGTTTAGGACCTTGATTATCACCCATATTTTAATTCGGGTATTTTCACACTTTGAGGACCATTTTTGTTTCCCCAATTTGTTGGTCTTTTTCAAATTTTTAATATTAAGCTTTCTTTTTTGGAGCAATACTTGAATCATAATTGTTTAAAAGTCGCACATCGTTGCATCTCTAGTAAGAACCCATTCAAGATCAGGTCTTTGATTTTTAAGTTTTTCTTTATTAATATATATATATATATATTGATTCATTTTGTCCAGCGAGCAGTACCAATCCATTTGTTTTTCTTCCGAATCAGGGTAAAGGCTGATGTTAAGATCTTTCCTGAGTAGAGAGGTAGAAGAAGTTATATTTTTTTTAAAACTCTTCTGTTAAAAAGGGGAATATGTTTCATATTGTTAGGTGACGGTTTAATTGAACCAACGGTAGCCCATGAAAATCTTTTAAAGAATCATCTCATTGACCTGAACACAGTGGTTTACTGGTGGTTTTTAAAGGTAACCAGTCTCGGAATGGCTTAAATATTCATATATTTGAAAAAGTTGTTGAGAAAATTGCATATAGTTTTTTTTTTTAATTAAAGATAAATTAACTGTTA